ATTCACTCCAAGAAAGTGAGAAAAAGAAAAATAGGTTGCATTCAGAAAAACGCAAAAGCTCTCCATCTGTGAACCATAGAGGACACTTGTTGATCAGATTGCCAGAGAAAGCCGAAGGAAAGGCAGAGCCACCTTCCTTCCTCCCTTTCAAGAGTGGAGCTCAAAACTGCCTTCACGGCTAAACACAGATGACCTGGTTGAGGAGGTCATGCCATTTCTTTACCTGTCAAATAAATGGACTTTCTCAGTTTCCACTGTGGATGAAAATATAATATTTCTGTTTGCAATTTCAATTTCACAGATGACTGGCATCTGCAGGGACAGAGAATTCTAATAAAATTGCAGAAGCATTTAATACAATGACTGGCAGATGGGAAAAGGGTTTGTGGCAACTCCATTTTTCTGATTATGTTAACAAAACATGGCATGTGCTTTTCTAATGCACTGACAGTGTTTCATTTACAGTTTAAATCTGATGACTACGAACAGTGATTAGAACTTTTGGGGGGCAATGCCATTTACCACTTGAATGGTTTAATAATATGTAGGTCCTTTTATTTTTTTCCAATCAGACAATTAGCATTCCAGCTTCTGCTCTTAATAAATTTACACGGCACAATTTCAAAAAATGATGAGTGCAAAAATAAGAAAAAATATCTGAGTGCACCATTGAGTCAATAAATTATGCACACTGGATTTGGAAATTAAGCAAAAGTAAAGTACTTTTTTAACCATAATAGAAGCCCTTTAAATAAAAAGTAGGCCCAACAGGGCACTATACAACTTAAAGCCATTGTTGATGAAACAGGATGAGGCAATTGCAGGGAAAGTTGCTACTCAACTACTTAAAGAAAAAACATGTTTAAAGCACAGTCCATCTATCAACACTCCTTAAATGGTCCCTTCAAAGAGAAGGCTTAAGGTAATCATGAAGCCAGATGTGTATGCAAGTTGCTTGCAGCCTTGCCCTGTGATGCTGACCAAGTTTCTTGGGCTTAAGTTTCAACAGTGATCAATTTAAAAGTGTTGAACTAGTTCCCAAGTGCTGGTGCTTGGACTAGAGGCTGGATGGCTGCATAAGTATCATGTACAGAGTTTTTGTTGTTGATGATGTTGTGTTGTTCCTGTGATTCCTGTGCTCTAACCACCAAAGAGTAGGGTTTGGTGGGGCTGGAGTAAGGCCAGAGGACTAGGTTTGGGAGCCATGGGCCTAACTTACTTCCAACTCTAAAGTGTAATCATACAAATGTACAATGAGAAACCCAAGGCACGAACTTGCATTTGACTAAAAATGGCAAATACCTAAGATGGAGAGAGAGAGAGAGTACATGTGGAGAAACAGAGAGATGGGGTCTTGCTCTGTTGCCTCAGCTGGAGTGCAATGGTATCATCTTAGCTCTCTGCAGCCTCAAACTCATGGGCTCATGGGATCCTCCCATCTCAGTCTCCTGAGTAGCTCAGACTACAGGTGTATGCCACTACACCCAGCTAGATTTTTTTCTATGTTTTGTAGAGATGGGCTCTGGCTATGTTGACCAGGCTGGTCTCAAACTTTTGCCCTCAAGTGATCCTCCTGCCTCAGTCTTCTAAAATGTTGAGATTACAGGCATGAGCCACTGCACCCAGCCATCAAGTATATTTTTAACTAACTGACTCTGTAGCTATATGTAGATGTTGTGGGACAAGACATAGTTTGAGGTACTCAAGAAATTGAGATTGCTTTATTTAAGATGAGTTTGGTAATCCCTTATGTCTTCAGACCCAATTGTGCAGCTACAGGGAGCCTGGGTGAGCCACTGGCAGGCTAAGCTGAGCAGAGAGGAAAAACCAAATTAAAACTCAAGAACTACTGGAGCAAGAGAGCAAGGACAGAGAGCAGCTCATGTGGAGCAAAGTCTGCTTTTCTCAGAGCCAAGACAATAACTGGAAACTACAGCAGGCTCTGCAGATAAATAAAATGTACTTTGAGGAAAACAGTGCTTTCTCCTGCCCCAAAAACACAGACTTTTCCTATGGATATTGAGGAAACTTGCACCAGAGGGTCCTCAAACCCTGCTCTTCCAGATACAAATTTTTCAGTCTATAAAATATCCTTAACATGCAAATACTCTCAAGAGTAAGAAATAGCATCTTAAGCTACATAATTTATCATCTAAACTCTTCATCTTGAGAACTAGGTAAGAGAAGAACCCCGAAGGAAAGAGCTTCAGACAGACAAAGAGAGAAACCTCATGAGAGGTAACCAGGAGAAGATAACCATAGAGGGCTGAACAGCAAGAGAGGCACCAAGTTCCACTCCACAATATTTCCTGGAAACAACCTTGCCAATCCATGAAATTAAAAAAATGTCATTCTGTGCCTTCCCACTTCTCAGAATGCTTGCAAGGTTACAGTTGATGTTGTCATAATGTATCCCAGTAGTATGAAGAAATTAGCTGCATAGATCCACTATGATCACCTCTCACCTGGGGCACTTCGGATGCCACGTTTAGCTGATGATTGTCAGGAGAGCACTTAAAGAATGTCATTTCCGTCATTTTATTATCTGACCCGCTGCCAGTTGAGTCTTACCAGCCTGTTTGCAGTCTCATTAGTTGCCATGGATGCATCTCCTTATCTAAATGACATTTCAGTCAACATCTGCCCTACCACCACCCCGAGAGAGGAGTGTGAGCTCCCCAAGGAGAATTCTGGAAACATCCCAGCCTGTTTCATTATTATTACTATTATTAGTATAATTACTTCATTATGTAGTTTTTAGCTCATACGACATCAACCTCTCCTGTTATTCATATAATAAGTTCAATGAATAATTAAATTAGATCTCGGAAAAATCTACAGCTTGATACCACCAAATCATGCACATAAATACAGAGCACAAGCACGTGGCTAACTTTTCAAATCTATACCCTGTGTGTCACATTACTTCAGCAGAACAAACATGAGCCAAGCACCTGCTCATATAAGGCACTGTGCTAGACCCCTTCTGTGGCCACATTTAATCTTCACGCCATATGGCAGACTGGATTATCCCTGTTACACGGGTAAGAAAATGGAGTCTCAGAGTGGTCAAGTATAATGGAAACAACCACCTACATAAGCCCTTCTTATGGGCCAGGCCTGTTGTAAGAGTTGTACCTGCATCAACTCATTTAATCCTCACAATAACCTATGAAGTAGGTTTAATTATTCTCATGTTACATATGAGCAGATTGAGGCACAGAGATTATATATACAACTCTTCAGTTTCAAACAGCTAGCACCAACACCAAGAATCACAGCCAGGCAATTTGGCCTCTGTGTACTTGACCCTACCCTGTTTCATTCTCAAATGGTATTAGGTTATTAAGATAGCAGTTAATAGAGATGAACTCTAACTCAGCCACACTCCAGGTAGGGTACTGAATCTGTATATATTCTCACATATTTCACCTAAAGGCACTTGCTTTCAGTACAGATCAGAATCTAAATTCTCCCACGCACACACTTGGACCCAAGGAATTCTTTAAACTAAGTACTTAAAGCACAGATGCTTATTAACCAACTGACAACCGATTTAAGCCTTCGTATTACAGTCCTTTCTAAGCTGTAAATTTAAAAAGATAAGTAAATTATAAAACCTCATTCCCACTCACCTGGGGGTTTCCAGGCACCAGTCCTTAGGACATAAATGTTGGACCAGAGTTAGCTAGCAGGAGACTACCATGGGGTACGGGAACGGAAGAGAAGGAAAGAGAAAGAACAGGGAGGAAATAGCTAAAGAGAAGAAAAGGAAAGACATTTATTGAGTGCCCACCATGTTCTAGGAATTCCACTAGACTATCTACATATGTTATTGCACTTTACCCCCATAATAACCTATGAGGGGTGTAGTAATACCCTGAAGATTATCTTCTTCATGTGCAAAATAAATCAAAATTAAACTAGTCTCTACCCAACATCAAAGCCTAATCTCTTTCCATTATTCTCATGCTATCTCCCTAAGGTCAGCTCTTCAATGTCAATTCCGTTGGCCAAAAAAGATTTGATCCATCTCTCTTATCTCCATGTTCACATCAATAAAATAGAGATAATAACAGTTTTTCTTCAGAGTTATTCTGAAGATTAAATGAGGTAGCCCTTGTAAAGCAATTAGAAGTGTGCATGGCACAGAGTAACCACTCAATTGTCAGTGCTCTTAATGGATGATGTAGCAATGATCAAGAGAAGAAAGACATGCCAGGTTCTGTGCTAGGTGCAAGTGTTAAGAAATTATACCACTCTGGCAAAACATACCTTAGGCCAGTTCAGCTTACAGCCCTCCCTGAGCATCTCAAACACCAGCAGGAGACATTCTAGAGCAGTGCTTTTCAAGCTGCAATGTGCACACAAATCACCAGGGCATCTTCAAAAATGCAGATTCTCACTCAGTGGTTCTAGGCAGGGACCTGAAATTCTCCATTTCTAACAAACTCCGAGGCGATGCTCTGGCCCAGTACACCTCACTTTAAATGACTAGGGCCTAAGGAACTGCTTTCCTCCTATTTCCCAGCCTCTAAATTCTCCCCCTCTAAAGTGCCTGAGATAATGAAAACAGTCCAGGGAAAATAAATCATCTTCAACAACCAAATGTCAAATAAATCAAATCCTCAAGCACTGAAAGCATAAAAGCTATTGAAGGCAGCTTTCTGGGGCTCCTGGGACTGGGAACCCTTTCTGCACACTCTCCTGGCAGCCAGCTAATCAACAGGAGGAGGGAATGCCTTCATTTTCCTCTCCCTACCCTTGAATCAAAAGAAGTAAAATGAATCTGATAAAGTCTGTGTGGCCCCAGGTCCAATTTGAAGGCTTAGTCCTTTTGTAATCTATTTAAACTCCCAAATGAATATAAAGAAGAGGGAGGGCTAGCTTACTCATGTGTGTTAGAATACCTTTGGAATCTTTGTCCTCTCACTGTGTTCCTTCTCATTGTCCTCCCTCTAGCTGTATTTCCCTCACCAGCAACATTCCAATTTAAGCCACAGGACTATAAAGACAAATGCCACAAAGTTCATCTGTTATTGGGTGACCACAGGAAGTGCCAGAGATTCTGAGAAGCAATTGAAATTGAACCATGTAACAGCCAACCTGATCCTCTTCACTCATGCCCCTCAGGATCCTAGGTGTAACATCAATTAAGACAAATTAACATAAAGAAAGTTGGACTGGAAGAAACACGATTTGTTTCAAGAAATACCACCGGCACCATGTTGTGATTCAGGCCATTGAGAAATGTTTCAAGTCTGACTCTGAGGAAAGAGAAAATATATTTACAAATATTTTATGAGCTTCAAAATTATAAGAAGTCACCAAGCCCCTTCTTTCCACTGCTACCATTTTCCAAGCACAACATCACAAGGTGAGTGGAGCGAACAGAGCAAGTGCAAGGAGCTTGCTTTGTTCACTCGCTGGCTTAGGCAGTCAGGAATCCCATCTTGTCTTGGTCCTGTAAGGGCTTTATAATCCTTGTCCATCCAGGTATAATGAAGAGGCCGGGCTACACTAGAAACTAAACATGGGATTTTGCCCACTTTTCACGCATCAAGCCTCTTTTGAAGGTTGTGCTCTAAACGATCTCATTCAAAGCATAAGGAGAACATGCATTGGTGAAGAACATGGGCTCTGCAATCAGACTTCTTGGGCTCTGGCACGTACTATCAGTGAGATGGTGGATAAATCTTAGTTTCTCTTAGCTTTGCTTTACTTACTCATAAATTGATGTGAATAAAAGCACCAACTTATAAGGTTACTGTGACAACAAAATAACACACAAAGCACAATGCCTAGCATATGTAAAAACTATTATCCTGCCTTGCAGCACTTACAAGGTATGAATGAAAAAGAAAGCAAAATTTGCAAGTTTCTGCCCCCTGTAACTATATTGCCAGCTCATATTAGAGCACTGAATGCTTCATAATATAATTCAACACCAGAGATAAATGTTTCTTTACTCTCTGGACCTCAGCATCCCTATCTGTAAAATGAGGTGGTTGTATTAAATCGCTTACCTCTCAATTCCAACAGGAGCTGCGTAGAAATTGTTGAGCAATTCCCCAGGGATGCAAGCAAATCCCCAAAGACCCCCTCCTTGAGGCTGAGATGGGGGCTAAGATTAAATTACAGCTGCACAAACAGCAACTTCATCACATGACGTTTACCTAGCACCGTCTGTGTGTCTTTCATTCCTTCATCTTTGTGTTAGGTGTACCTATGTGCCAGACCCTAATGGAGGCACTGAGATGGCCAGGATGCTGAGGTAAGTGAGATGTGGCCCCTAGAACCAAGAAACTCATAGACCAGTAACAGAATAAAGTCAGCATAAAGACTAAAGGTGTAGGGCAGTGGGAATATTCGTTTTACTACTAGTGACAGAAAGACTCTCTGTGGTAACCTTCAGGGTATCTCCCATGGACTCCAAGACTTAAGTAAAGAATAGCAACCACTGTAACTCCTATCACTAGAGCTGTCCCTGCTATTATAAGTGCTTAAATGTCTACTCTATGCCAAGTCCATATCAACTACATTGAATCCTCTACATTAGTCCCCTGAATTAGGTATCATTATCTTCAGTGGGCCACGAACATCAGCCATCTTTCTGCTATGGCTTCTGTTAACAGCAAACAGACCACTCACAGATGTTTTTTTAGCCTAAGAGCCTACACTTACCCCATATGAACCCTTCCTGACTGCAGCTGTTTAGAATACAAACAAGAACTTGATCTTGGGCAGTCACTTTATGGACTGGTTAAGAAAAAGGGTCAACTGGACCAATTAAATTCTCTAGGCTTTCTCTCCCAGGCTACAGATTAGAATCAACTTTTTAAATATATAGTTATCAGGCTCCACCTCAGGCCAGTTAAATCAAACTGAGGGGAGGTGAGCTGGAATACATATTTGGTAAAGCTCTCTTGTTGGCTCTAATATGAAGCCAAGGTTGAACATCACAGCTTTAGAGCAGTGGTTCTCCCCAGGTGGGGTCGCCAAAGTAGCAGTATCAGCATCTCTTGGGAACTTGTTGGAAATACAGATTCTTGGTCTCCACTCCAGACCTACCAGATCAGAAATGCTTGTGGTTGTACTTAGCAATCGGCATTTGAACAAACCCTCCAGATGATGCTGACAGACACTGAGGTTTGAGCACCATGGCTTTAGAGCCTCACTACTCGAAATGTTGTTCATCAACCAGCAGTATTGGAATCAACTGCAAACTTGCTAGAAGCACAGAATATTCTGTCCCAACCTAGAGTTAGCAAATGAGTATCAGCATTTTCACAAGATCTCCAGATGACTGGTGAAAATTAAAAATCCTACACCCTCCAACTGACTGAATGAACCCCTTTCTTGGCCAAGGGAATCCCAGAGAAACTGTAAACCCTGAGTTCCCTGCCACGAAAGGATGGGAAATCAGACACACCTCATTATACTCCCACCCTTTAGTTGTTTAGACACAACTGACAAGCATTAATGTTATACTAGAGATTATAAGACTGACAGAACAGACTGTTTGTGGCAATAAGATACCAAATTATAAACAGCACCTAGGGCCATGCCAGGCAATGGTTAAGTCACACACCCCTACACTTAAAGAGTAAGCTATGTTCTAACTGTCACAGGGTTTTCATTTTCCTCCAGCAGTTAAACCAGCATTGGCCTTGAGACAAACAATATTGAGACAATTGCAGCTGACCCACCATCAGACCTTGACTAACTGTCACCCTTCCCTGTTCCACAAGCCATAACTACAGCTTTTTTGGACAAGAGATTGATTTCAGTAACTTTCTCCTGATACGAGACCATCAACCACAGTCTTGTTCTGGCTGGTTTACAGAGAATGCTTACTGGATGCCTTCATGTCCTTGCTTCACCTTTTGATGTATAGGGCCTTATTGTAATGCATTTAAATGTTAAGTCTCCACCCCAAAGTGAACATGGGTCATATGTAACATTCAGATTTATTCAGTAGGCATGCTTCAGGACCCCCCTTCATGAATATTCACAGCTCCTCCCATAACCTGCTGAATATGTATACTTGGTCAACTAATTTAGCATAGATCCCTGTTTCACCCTCCCATCCCTTGAAAGCTCTGCCAGAAGCTACATTTCCCAGCCTGTCAGGATGGCCACCCTGTAAGCTATAACTTTGTATAAGAAATAACATCTTCCTTCCAAAGTTATAGATCTCACGATTCTTCAGTTGACACTGGTGTGTGCATTAAAGTTTGAGATACAAGGGAAAAAAATTAAATGAGTTTCAATGGAAGAAGATAAAAATAGTCAAAATAAGAAGCAATGACTCTCAACTAAGCAGTTGTACTCTACATGAAGAAAATTTATCAGAACAACCTCAGGGGTTCTCTCAACCTATTTGTACAGACATGCAGAGATTTCAGTAGGGAAGAATCGCTGCCACTGATGAGAATATGTTATGTTCCTCAGTGTGGTAGATGAAAATTAGGTTTATAAAACAGAGATTGAAAGAGGCTGGGAGGAAAAGCATGATGGGCATGGCAATGTGAAGATATAGAACAGCAGAGGAAGATGGGTTTAAAAAGAAACTACATAGACAAGCAGAAAGAGGCTAACCCCATGAGGGAGAGAGAGCAAAGAAGAAGTAAATGATCACTAGAATTGTGTCTCCCACCTTGCCAGTTTGGGTTCCAGTTCAGCAGTACCCTCACAATAAATAGCTTTTCTTGAGATGATTTGAAAGGGTCTTGATATGGTGTGGCTGTGTCCCCACCCAAATCTCATCTTGAACTGTAGCTTCCATAATTCCCACATGTCATGGGAGGGACCTAGTGGGAGGCAATTGAATCATGGGGGTGGGTCTTTCCTGTGCTGTTCTCATGATGGTGAATAAGTCTCACCAGATCTGTTGGTTTTATACATGGTAGTTCCCTGCACAGTCTCTCTTTCCTGTCACCATGTAAGATGTGACTGCTCCTCTTTTGCCTTCCACCATGATGGTGAGGCCTCCCCAGCCATGTGGAACTGTGAGTCAATTAAATCTTTCCTTTATAAATTACCCAGTCTTGGGTATGTCTTTATTAGTAGCATGAGAATAGACTAACATCGGTCTCTATCTCTGTAACTACAAGCATTCATTTTGTGCAGTGGCCACCCAAGAGTGTTCACTATGGGAGGGATAACAAAGACAAACAAAAAAACAAAAAGGAGGAAGCAGGCTTCACCAGGCAGCCACAGTCCTACTCAGACTCCCAGGTGCTAAGGAAGATTTTGCTCAGAGCCAGTTTGCCTCCTGAGATTGACTTCATGCCTCAAAACCAAATAAATGCCTGGGAGAGAAGAAGATCAACAGCAAGCGCTGGCTGGATAGTGGGAAATGTACACGTTTCTCCCACACAGAAATTTGAGGCTTCAGCAGGTAGGCTTTCAGGTGCCCACATACCTCACCTCACCCTGGCAACACGTCTACTCTAATTGCACCTCATGTTTTGCCAAGGTGAGATGAGGAGGGTTTGAGGCACGAGGGGAAAGAATACAAAAAGAAAAGAAAGCCATTGAAATAAAATAAAGCCCCCGAGACCATCTTCTCAATATCCAAGGAAGCGGATGTGCCAAAATTATGGGGAAAATATATACACATACACAAACACATACACACACACACACACACACACACACACACACACACACATTTGATTAAAAAAAAGCAGCCCTCCCCCACCTTTACTGAAAATAAAGATCCCTATAAATACATGATTCATACTGTCTAGTGGAGAATATTCCTCAGCAAAAATGTAAGCTACAAAATATTAATAAAAGAGATACATTTATGAGCAGTATAGCTACATGTTGCAATGCCATGGGCACTGGACTAGTATAATTGTTGTACTCAAACCATGAAATAAAAAATTATCAAATGAAGACGGGCTACCTGTATTCATTTACACTTCAACAAAGAACTTACCAGGCCAATTGAAAATCACTGTGCTCCCAAGAATGAACAGTTGTCAACCTGTCTTCCACCTCAATCTACTTAACAGGTGGTACACACCTGTGAGACATGTCCTTGCACAGTTCTCCAGAGACAAGAGGAAATTGTTTCCATTTCTCTCTCATTCGAAGAAATCACAATGAAACATAAGTGAGGACGAAGAATATTATAATATGAATAACCTTGAGTATGTTGTGAATTATTTTTAAGTAAACAATTTACAACTTTGAAACTTTAATAACAATAACAATATGCTTTTCATGTAGTTGTTCAACAAATATTTATGGAGCACCCACAATGCACCAGACACCATGCTAAGTAAGAGCTAAAGTGGAAGCATGAACAGGTTCTCTATTTCCTATGTTTGGGAGACAGACAGACAGCATGCAAGCAACTAGGAAAAAAAGGGACAAATTACAAAATAATACATACAATGTGATCTCATTTAAGTAAAAATACACAAGCCAAAACATTACCATATATGCATATATAAACTACACACAAAAAAGTTTTGGTAATATATTCACTAAATCAGTGGTAAGCCCACCTTGTCCTGCAAAGGGCTAGATAGTAAATATTTTCAGCTTTGTGGGCCATACACTTGCTATCACAACTACTTGATTCTGTGGTTATAGTATGAAAGCAACCATAGAGTTCATATGTAAACAAAAGGGTATAACTGTGTTCCAATAAGACTTTATTTACAAAAATGGATTTGGTCCTCGGGTTGTAGTTTGCCAACCTCTGCTCTAAATTACTAAAAGTAAGTTATTTTAAAGGAGTACAACTTG